AGGATTGTGTTAAACTATTTTAAACATTTCTTGTTGATAGGCTGATCATATAATGTGAGTTGTCTGATTATTGTGATAATAATTATTATTAAGGTATTAAGGTGTTGTTATAGTATTTACAGTCAGTTTTCATGTTTTATTGTCTCTTTAGGTGATTGATTGCAAGATGCGTTTTTTCAGGATCCTGTGTTTTTGGTTTTTTAACTATTCATGTGTTTTCTTTATCCAATCTTTTATGCAGCTGCAGTTCATCTTCTTTTACAAATTCATTGTCCAAATTTTGGTTCAAGATTTCAGATTTCAAATTTTCAGATCACTGAAGAAAGGGTTTGTTGCATTTAGAGAATTTTTGTCTTGAAAGAAATTTTGGAGAGGTTCAATTATTTGATAGTTTGATACATTTTTAATAATAAGGTTTTTTACTTATAGCTGTTATTTCTAAGACTTTTGTTTTATAATGTGTTAGAACATACCCTCCAATTAGAGTTCAAGCTCTGTCCAAGCTCTGGCTCTACTTGGATGGTGTGATTGACCCAGGTGTTTTCTGCATCAAAAAGTATTCAAGTCCTTTTGGCTTGACCATTTGTCCATATAGGACAGCTGAGCCTCAAAGGGAGTTTTGGAAGAACATGATCCAGACATATTTTATCCAAATCTCTGTTGTTTTAAGGATTGTCAGCTGCTGCAGACTCTGGGATGACAATTTGATAGTGTAGCACTCGGTAACTGTGATTTTATACGTAATATTAATTGTGTATTATCTGATTGATTTTTATTTGTTGTTAGTTTATTTACTATATGTATAGTTTTGTTCTTGATGTTTTCTCATGTTTATAACAAAGATGTTGATATTTCCATTTCTTCATGCAAATTTTAGGGAACAGAACTGAGAGAGGACCTTCCAGTCCCCGTGGGGGTGTTTGGTTTGTTTGTATTTTAACGAGTGCAGAATCTGGATGGATTTCACTGAAGAATGTGGTGCATATCAATTGTAAGAGAGCACTGATCTCTCCACAAGTGGAAGCAGAAGATGCACAGAAAATATAGATTGTGCAAAGACTTGTGTTTCATCCACAGAAGACAGTGGACTTTTGGTTTTTCCATAAGTGTGTTTTTAATAGCGTTATAGAATTTAATTACTAATTTTTAATGGGTCTTAGTAATGCCTGTGATTTTTCTGTTCATTTTGCCATTGTTTTTCAATGGCAAAAGAAAAAGAAAGACAATCAATGAGATAATTATAGGCAGAACATTAAGTTTATCATAAATGTAGTTTGTATTTAGAATTAAGTTTTTCCTCTTCATGTTAAACAGGGCAATCAAGAACATGAGAAATATGTAGTGGGGTGCACTTCTGTAATACTAGACTCATTTTTCACCCCACGAGTTGCTTCAGGGCAAGATCTCACACAATTAAAAATCCTGGCCCGTTGGACAGAAAAGTAAATTAATATTCCATCTAAAATGTTAAATGAGCTTGCCACTGATATAGGTAGTACCTGGCATGTAGTTCTTCAAAACAGAGCTGCCATTGATTTCCTTCTTCTAGCACAAGGACATGGGTGTGAAAAATTTGAAGACATGTGCTGCATGAATTTGTCTGACCATTCTCAATCAATTTATAAACAGTTAACGCAATTGAAGGACAACATGAAAAAACTTACAGTAGTAGACACTCCATTTGATAACTGGCTCAATTCTTTAGGTTTTGCTGGCTGGATCAAAGATTTAATTCATTTTGGTATTGTACTTCTTCTTGTCTTTATAATTATTTTGATTTTTATATCGTGTTTATTACAGTGTATGCAAAAACTAGTTCATCGCGCCTTCACGTCAGCCTGGGTAGCTCAAAAAGAAAAAAGAGGGAATTGTTACAGAATTTCTGAGAGACAGAGAACATGGTTTATGTCTGGAGTGAGACTTGAGCTACCCACTCAGACTAGGCCTAATAAGCGGCCTTGATGGGGCCTCGAAGCCAGTGAGAATTCAGTTGTTGCGCAGTCAGAAATTATGTTAAGGTAACTACAAAGTAATGAGCTATTCGAGCATGAATTAGACTATAGCTGCAGTGTGAAAAGTTTGACCACCTTAAGGCAAAGGTAAACAATGTTAGTGTGCCAATCAGAGTGCCTTTGCAAATTGTAAACTATGTAGAAGTGTATAAAAACTGCCATCTTCTCTCGATTAAACAGACAACGTTGCATTAATTATATTGATTGGATGTGTGTTCTGTCCAGCCAGCTCCCCCGATTTTATGAGGCTCCTGGCTTTTAGAGTGAGCAAAAAAAAAATAAAGGTAAATGGAGATTAATGAAAGTATATGTCATGTAGATTGTTTATTTTGAGCTTCACTTTATCTCCTTAGAGGAAGGTGTATTGTGTTGAATGGTATTGTGAAAGGACTTTTTGTGTAGTTGAAAGAAGGTGGTGTGTAGTTTCCCCCCCTCAAGCAGCCCCTGAAGAATCCGACTAGCTCCGAGATAAGGGGCTGTGAGGGGAGGAACATCAGGAGAGGGGAAAAATATTCAAAAGAGGCTCTCACCCCAGGATATAGCTGGTACAGCTCTCTTTATTCTGTGCTGCCCATGGGAGAGCGGGGCCAAAGAGAGAGAGAACAGGAAATGTCAGGGGTCTATATAGGTTTTGGACAGGGTGGGCTTTCCTGGCTCTCCGCCAACCCCGTTGGGGCAGGAAGGAGGATCCAGGGGTTATCTTGATCAGACTCACAAGGTCCCGGGGAAGGACGGCACAGAGTGCCCCTGAGCTCACTGTAACAGTGGTGTTCAGGTTGTTAGAGAAAGTGGGAAACAGAGGCACGGGACGAATAGATAAGATCTTGAAAAAATGGGACAGAAAACCAGTAAAAAAAAAAAAAAAAAAAAGAGAAGAAAAAGGGAGTAAAAGGGTACCAGCAGAGATACCCCAAGGTAGCCCTTGGCGGGGGGGGGGGGGAGGGTTATGTTAGCTAACAGAGATACAAATCCCTGTACCAAGAGAAAACACAGGGTTTGCAGTAGTTGATGAGAAAAACATGCAAACTATTGAAAAAGAGAAATTTACCTCAAAGTGGTAAGCCCAAACTTGTGAATTATATGCTCTAAAAAGAACAGTGGAATATGTAACACACAAGAAAGGAGCTATGGATGCATTGGGATGTTTTTGGAGTAAGAAGGCAAGTGACTAAAAGATATATAACTTCCCAAAGGATAAATAAAAAGGTGATGAGAAAAACATTAGGAGGTCACGAGTTAGCTCTCCAACCATTTCAAAGTATCCAAGTAAAAATTTAGATTTGTTAGGCTCTAAAATTTATTTATAAATTCAAAAGAACCGTTCAATCCAGAAGAAAGAATATGTCATATGCTGAACGGGAGATTTTGGGAGAATAAAAAAATCTTTACAGTATCAGAAACCCCTGAGCCAATGCAAGAAAAGAGAAAAAAAAAAAAAAGGGAGGGAAAGAAAAGGTCTGGGAACAGGAGGAAGGGAGGAAAGAAAAATATTGGGATCCTTTGCAAGTGTTGTATCCTCCGTTCCCACTCGCCCCCCCCCCCCCCCCCCACCCACCCGCGGCTGTCCTGCTGGTCCTGGTTCGCGTCCCGACCCCGGTCTCGCCGCTAGGGGCTGCACCGCCGGTCCTCGCTCCCATCCCGGCTGCGGCCCCGCTAGTGAATTTGTCTGCCCCGGTCCTGGCCGTTTGGCCCGCAGACGCTCTGCCAGCCGTGCCGGGGTCCATCCTGCCGCGTGGTCTGGGGTCGCCGTCCTTCTAGGGCTGTCCTCCGCTGACCGCTCCAGGGGGGGCCGTCTGTCCCGGCCGTCCCATCTCCGGCTGCCCTGCCCATCTCCGGCTGCCCTGCCCGTGCCGGATGCGCTGGGCGCCACCGCTGCTTCCGCGGCCGCCCCGCCTGCTTTGTCTCTGCCGGGAGCTGACGAATCAGCTGCTATCAGCCGTGTGCGGCTCGGTCACCACCAGAAGATCTTCCTTTGGCGGTTCCGGCAGCGGATCTTGCCTGCACCTTGGAGGACTCAGCCTCGGCACAGATCCCTCCCCTGAATCCCCCTCCTGCCCTGCGTTCCGTTCCCTCGGTAACCACAACTGCGGCTGTTCAAGGAAACGCTCTCTAGAGGAAGCGCCTCCTGAGCGGGGTCAGGAATTTAATGATCAAGAGAATTTGGCGGGGGGGGGGGGGGGGTGGGGGCAGCATCTCGAGGGCAAAATGCTGACGGGGATTTTGAGGCACAGCAGGGGAAAAGGGAGGTTACAGCTGAATGGTTGGACAGACTTGGAAGAAATATAAGGCAGTGTTCCGGAATGGATCCTGAGATTGATGAGAGAAAAGCTTTGTTAAGGATTAACTTTGTTACTGGTCTTTGGCCAGATATTAGGAAAAAAATTGAAAAAATTGAAGATTGGCAGGACAAATCATTAGATGATTTTTTAAAGGAGGCTCTGAAGTGATATGCAGAATAAATAAATTGAATCCACAACTGGGGTAGTTATAAAGTGGGTATGTATTGTCAGCACTCGGCACAAGTGAGATAGCTCTCCAAAAACTTGTGTCCCGAGCCTCAGTCTGACCCACACTTTTATTTAGAAAGGTGTTCCATATGCAGTAGATTGCACAACTTTTCCATGCATATTCAACCCCTGGTTCCGCCTGTCCTCGCCTCTCATGCTAAATAGGTCCACACCCTTCTGAGCACTCCTGGTTTGCTGTGGTGTTCCTGCAGGGGTCTCTGGTGGTCTCTTGAGGCTGAGAATCGTGGTCTTCTTCATGGTTGAACTTTTGAACTCTTCCTCTCTGCGTGTGCCCTTTCGGTCCTTCAGTGCTTATCTGTGTACATCCGTCAGTCTTGATAGGCTTAGAGACAGGAAAGCTTATCTGGGTTCTTTGCATCCTTAGGCATTGTTTTTTGTGCAATATGCTTCAGAAATTTGCATTTTCTTATGCCCTTTTGTACTTATGGCAGAGGTTTCTTAAGTAAAAAGTTAAATTTCAACACATAACTCTACAAGCTAAAATTTAAATGCTTAATTCAAAATTTTAACTTAAGTGAATTCCAAAAATCTCTATTTCAGCTCAGAAAGTCTGTGGGCAAAGCCAAACTAAAAGCAAGGATTGTGACAGTCACCATGCTAGAAAGCAATTACAAGGAAAAATTTAAAAAAACCACACAAGCACTACTCCTAGATATGACGGTAGTAGAGACAAGGGAACAGGAAAGAATAAAACCCCAATACAAACCAAGTCCCAGGAGCATTCCAGGAATGTTTGCTTTTACTGTAAGAGCAAAATACATTAGAGGAGAGATTGTCCTAAGAGGGTAAAAGATCTGAAAATCTTCCCTGAGATGGGCACAAAAGAGGAATAGAGAAGTCATAAGCTCTATATTTTAGGGGACAAATACCATCTGGAGCCAGTGGTAATGTTAAAAGTGGGTGCCCAAGAAGAAGAATTAGAAGTTGCAGTAGACATAGGGGCAGAAAGAACCTGTTTCTTTAATATTCCAAAAGGTTATAGTGTGAGCAAAGATACTGTAAAATAACAGGAGCAAAAGGAGAGAGTTTCACAGTTCCTGTCATTAAAAATATGGTAATTGAGGGAGAAACTAGATTTTGGATAGGGGATGTTTTATTGGTCCCAGGGGCAGGTAGCAACTTATTGGGACAAAATTTGCAATTGAAATTAGGAATAGGGGTTATCCCAGAAGATGGGAACATGACAGCTGGAGTTTTAAAATTAGGTCAAGAGGATGAAAAAAGAAATTAATGAGGAAGTTTGGGCTAGGGAAGAAAATAGTGGAGGATGCTTCATACTGAACAGATGTCTTCATTGAGCTGTTGATTCAGCTAATTTGTAACTCTCTGTACTCTAAGACTGAAAAACTAGTTTACAGCTGTGACATAGCAAAACCTGCTTTTAATTTATTTTGAGTCGAGGCAGGCTGTTCAATCAAATGGTTCTCAGTGTGCAAAGTTAAACTAAAGGTAACACCAGCTGCTTGGTAGGTCAATGAGAAACATTTTTCCTTCCAACCAGTCCATTTCATGTAACAAATGTGTTTTGCTTTCTTGGTTTTTGTTTTGTTTGTTTGTTTGTTTTTCTGGAAGTGCTGACTATTTGCAGTGCACCTGGAACAGCAGCGAGAGTTGCGCATGCATAGCACTTCTGAAAAATAGGGCTCATTTTTTTTCCCAAAATGGGAGGTGGCTACATATATAAAAGAGAACCTACAAAGCTAGATGAAGAAAAGGTTTCAGTATCTTCTAATGTAAGCTGTTAATTTGTTACCTTCAGCATCACTGTGGGTGTGTGACACACACACTTGAAAAAGATGGTGGGGGGGATCTCTGCTTGCTATAGTTTTATTTCTTGAATGAGTTGGAGAGCTGTGAGGAAGTCGTGGGTTCCTTGTGTGGTTTATCCAGGCCTGCAGGAAGGGCTTGGCCATAATTCCGTCTGTGCTGCACGTAGCCCTGAAGTGTAGCAGCAGTGGCTTGCCTCTGGTGAGTTTGCAGGCAAGGTGCTTCACCACTGCAATGCTCAGGTGCTGTTTCCTATTGTGGCATTAGAGCTTGAATTCAGGAGTGCATCTTCCCATCCAGTTATTGTTGGCACCACAGTAGCCTCTTTGGACAGTGATTTCTGGCAGACAAAAGAAAGTATTGCAGAGAGAAATTCCTTACTTGCTGTCGTCCCGCCCCCCCCCCCCCACTGTATTCATATTTTGTCCATTCCCTCTTCAAAATACAGATTTGTAAAACTCATGCTCTGTGTCCTCAGATGCCCTTCCCAAATCAAACCTTGGCTTCGTTGCAAATTGCATTGCACTAACAAGCATTGCTTTGCATTGCACTAACAAGCATTGCATTAAATTTTTTGGTGCAGGCAGGGTCACTTTGGAAGTAAGTTGTTGTTTACCTTGTTCCTACAACCTTTTCGAGCTTGTGAATAGAAAAAAAAATTGTGATAGCAAAGCAAGTCTTTAGTTTTAGCACTGTGTCAGATGTGAGTGGCTGGTGGCCTTGGTGGAGGGTGCTGTGAATCACACACCTGCATAACACACATAACAAAAGTAATTTAATTTGTAAAGCAGTTGAAAAAGGGGTGGAGGGGTGATTGGCAGACTCACCGCTCCAGGATGTTGGAATGTAGACTAATGTTAGGAAGTGGACTGATGTTGGAATGTGGATGTTGAAATGTGAAGAGAGAAAAAGAGAGAGAAAGAGAGAGAAAGGGAGAGAGAGAGACAGAGAGAGACAGCAAAGGGGAGAGCAAAATAAGTCCCCAAGGTCCCCACGCCCCCCGTGGCTATCTGTAAGTTCTCCCCCCATTCCTGCTAGGTAAAGTGACAAGGGGGGGGCGGGGGGGGGGGGGGGGGGAGGCACAGAGTTAAACACAAGGCTGTAAAAAAGAGGGAGAGAGGGGCCACCGCTAGAGATAAGATCAAGGCAGATATAGCTGACCCTCATAAAGTGATTTATTTTTTTTAAGCAAGATTTCTTTTTTCTTTCTGTTTTTTTTTGTTGTTAAGAAGAGAAGGCTTTTGTTCTGAAGAATGGGTCTGTAAGACTAAAACAGTTAGATGTTGCCCAAAAGGTAAAAAGCAAGAGATGTGATACATCTCGTGTTAAAATTGGCCTGGTCTTTTTTATTATTTAACTAATTATAGCTCATGAGAAGAAGAATTTGCCTCTGCAGCTATTAACACAGCTGGATACAAGAAGAGGCGGCTGTAGAAAAAGCTTTTAGTTAAACCCAGAAAGTTTTGAAGAAAACTAATGGTAAAAGTTAATGCAGTATTGTCTTTCTTTTAACACTGTGTTATTAAGAAGTCCTTTCCAGATACTACTAAAGCAGCAATCCGAACCACAGAAAGAGGGTGAATTCGTGCCAGCAAAATCAAAGGACTTGTGAAGAAACTTGAGGAATGGATTATCACATCTAAACAGGGTGATACCAAAGTGACTTTCAGCTGGGACTGGGTGGTAACGGTTTGGGAAGACCCAAATGAACCAAAGAAGGTACAAAGAATAACACCTAACTGAGAAATAAAGCAAAGCTTACATCAGTGGTTTCAAGCACTGCTTAAATAAGCCCTGAGATGCCTCCAATACCTCCTTGGAAGAGGAATACTGCCACTTCAAACAGGACGATCAAGACTATTTTAATCAAAGAGTTCTTATATTCTGGTCTTAGCCTGTGACTCGTACAGGGAAGAAGGGAAATTACCATTAGTACTATACTGTATACTTTATTTGATTTATCCCAATTCTGGACACGCTAGCTGGGTTATAGGTAAATGTTCAAATTATGGGAATAACTGGTGTTGTAGCTCACAAAATCTAAGCTCTCATTGCAAGAAGTATTGAGTACTGAATCTATACCCTATACAGATAGAACTCAAAACAACTGAAGTAATAACTTTATTTTGTGGATGGGAATTATTAGTGCCTGTTGACCAAGAGATACCTGAGGAACGGTGGGAAACCACAGTTAAGGAGTGTCGAAAAGAACTTGCCAAAAAAAAAAAAAAATTGTAAAAAAGGAGTGACAAGGGAAACAGAGGGCAAGCCTGGATTGACCACTGAACTCGCCATCGAGACTACACATACCTGCTATGGGAAGCAACTACATAGGCAGGGGAGGTGGTGGTATAAGCCATACCAGACCTCTGTTATTCCTGTTTCTGTCACTCATTTGTTGTCTTTTACCTTTCGGGATACCAGCATGATCGTGTCACAAATGCTACAGAAAGCATTACATGGAAAGAAACCAAAGTTCCTTTTTTGTTACACACACCCATGTCAACAGCCACTGTTATAACCCATCCAAATTAAGTACCTGCAGCCAAAATGTGGAAAAACATTGGATTAAAAGGAACTCAGGAAAAAGTGGTAATAGATGGGGCATTGAATGTCCAAAAGGAGAGAGATGGATTTGTTTTACATTTGATCTCAGAGATATAGTCCAAGACTTGGCAAAAAGGCAATTAGTAAGCAAAAAGGTAAAACAAGCACAACAGGCTTGCTCTGTATTGACCCCAAATTACATACTGAATTGTATTATAGGACTCCAAGCAGTCATAGAGAAGATAACTGTTTTGGTTTTAAAAGACAAGACTCTGTGAAGGAAGGTAAGAGCCTCCCGTGAAATGGAAAAGGTAAATCCCCTCCCTCCGAATTACCACAATTTCAAAATTAAAGGTCTCTCAGGCAAAGATATGGGAATGGGAATAACAGTTCTTTACTAGGAAAAAACTAACTTAAAAAAATGCAATTAGTACAAACAAAACTACTGATAGAGTCAGAAACTTGACACCCTGAGGAGTTGGGGTGTTGGTAATAGTCCAGTTAAATGGTGGCTGTTCCTCCTAGAGTGGCAGATGAAATGCTTCTGAAGCGGTGATCCTGTAGAAAGGTGTAGTTTTCTCTGAAGGTCTGGTGATAGAGTAGATGGGCCTGGTCTTCTGGGAATCTACCAGGGAAGAAGTTGCTCCTCTGACAATTTAACAGAGAAAAAGCTGCTCTTCTGGGAATCTAGTGAAGAGGCTGTTCTGATGTCCCAAAAAAATGCTGATTTTATGCAGGTAGGAATGCTTGGCTCCTCCCTCTCGGTGGAGCATCTCACAATGGGATGATGTAACTTTACCAGTCATGCAGTGAGTCATTCAATGGCCCATTAACAGAAGATATCTCCCCGGAGGGAGACATTGTTCATTGTTCTTGGAAGAGATAAGAAAACTCCCCAACTTAACAGGAGATACCTGCCCCACCTCCAACAGATGGCAAATAGAATACATTCTTATCTTATAAACCAGGACAATAACAAACAAAGCTGCTCAGGCATTGGAATTAATATTGAATCAGCAAAGCCAAACAAAAACTGTAGTGTATCAGAATAGGTTGGCTTTAGATTATTTATTGGCTAAAGAAGGGGGTGTTTGTGGAAAGTTTAATATAAACGATTGTTGAAAATAGATGACAAAGGGGAGGTCATCCTGGAAAAAAACAAAGTATATCAGAAAGAATTAACTCAGATACCGGTCGAAAAATGGGAAAACAATGTTAAAAAACTAACTGGTGGGGTAATGTATTGAGAATGGGATGGTGGAAGAAATTAGGATTCTTTCTTTTATGTGTTACAACTGTTTTGATGTTTCTTCCTTGATTAATCCCATGTTTTATTTGATTACCAACATAGTCCAAAGAATGTAATTGGATAAGAAATATTGCTCAAGTCAAATGATTTATAAAGAATAAGAGGAGGGATTGTGAAAATGCATATTTTATAATTGGCTTTTCACAAATATTAAATTGAATACTATATGTATTATGTTATACTGATTAGAAGTGCTGTATTAACATTTTAATAGTATGGTAAATGTAGTTTGCAGTTAAAATAGAAACTATGTATGTGGGTTTTTTTTTTTTTTAAGGAATGAGATACTTGCTTCGATATAACAATCACAGAACACCTAAATCTTCCAGAGAAGAGGAATTTATGGTTTTCTTATCAGAAGAAGCTAATTTCTTCAGGCCTTGCTCAGACTCTAAGACGCCGTGGGGATTAGAAGAAGGAGTTGACATATTCCAGACAGAGTTTCTTATTTTAAATAGAATGTTTGCATAACCTTGAAGTATGTATGAATATGCAACAGCGTATGGTTTTTAAGGGTTATTCCTTTGTTGACAAAACATGCCTGTCGTGGCTTCATTGCCTGAGAGCATCCGGACGTCCATAATTCTTTGCTTTTTATTGTCTTGAAATTGTCCTAACTCTAAATTGTATTACTTTATTGTTAAAGTTTTAAAATTTTAAAAACCAAGTGACTGGCGTTTTTCACACTGAGCTTGCCGGATTGGCTTCTGTTGTTGCTCTGCTGTCGGGAAGCCCAGGGCCAGTGCATGTCCCATCAGGACCTGGGACCGCCCTCATTTCCCGCCGCGGGGCTGCCCCCCACCCTCTGCACAGCCTGGCCCCAGGGACCAGCCAGCGCCAGTGAGAAATCCTGGGGAGTCTCTCTCTCTGATGTGTTTGGGAGACAGGCTGCTGCCTGTCCATCCCCTGCCGTGCCTCTACTGTTGCTCCGGGTTTTTTTGCTGCACTGTAGCTGTTTCACCCCTGCCTGTTGGGCAGTCCAGCTACAGCTGCAGTTTCTGCTGCCTCTTGCTTGCTGCCCCGGGGGAATCTGCCCTGCTGTTCTGCCTTAGCTGCTTCTGAGGTTTCCTGCTACAGTCACTTTTGCTATCCAGAGGGGCACCAGGATTGGCTGCCCCTGTGAGATGTAAAGGAAGCCCCTTCTCCATTCCTTCTCAGCCAGCTGTATCTGCCATTGTCCACGTGGAGAAAGACGGCCAAACTCTCGCCACAGCGGCCCCTGCAGCCGCGGGAAAATCATCGCACCTGCCCTGCCTGACTGGGCAGCCACCAGCGCCCCTGGCAGCTGCAACCGTAACTACACCAAAGGGGAAAGTACCTGCAGCCAAGAGAAGGCTATTACTGGGTTTCTGGGGGGGAAGGGGGGGGGGTAAGGTTCAACAATTTCAATATCTAGCATTTATTCAATTTTTTAAAAAATGCTAATAAACATGGCTTTTTCACTTATACCCCCCGGTATCCATTTCTCTCATTGGCAGAAGGAAAGGAAGTTATTGAAGCCATTTTCCTTTGAGGAAACTCTCATTCCAGGGCATTATCTCCTGAAATTTGTCTCAAAACTGAGACACTCACTAGCAAGAGATAACTCATTAGCCAGACAGGCTGGTCTGGGTTATCTCATCAATTCATGTGAGGGGGAAGAATGTCCGGAGCTATTGCACCAGCTGATGGACAGAACAGATAAGCTCTTCTGTGGTAGGGGGAATGTCCAGCCACAAATCCCTATAGATTGCCTCCAGCACAGCAAATTCTCTCAGGTACTAGGCACCTTGCTCCATGGCATTCCAGCTGCTTGTGCACACTACTACATCATCCTTTAGAGAATACCTTTCCCTCACACTTGACAGGTGTTGCCTCCAGAGACTGGGAATATCTGTTCTCTTCCCAATCCCCTTGTCAATGCCCACATCCCAGGACAGGGATCTCAGTTGCTTGGCTTTACTACCATCTAGTTTTGTATTGTGGGCTGTGATATGCCAGCATTGGAGCAATCAGGTCCCCAGAGGCTCTCTCAACTGGCAGCTGAAATATTTTTGCATATTCTTGCAGCCCACATGAGAATAGAGATCAAGTGATTTTCTGGCCCTACCTCGTCCTCCTGTTGTGAGTGTGGTAGATAGGGACAGGCGAACGGAAGACCACGGGATGTGACGGAAAGAGAGAGACCCTTCCCCCTCCCCCTGCCCCACGCTATCCATTAACCCCAGAAGCATGTGACCACACCTGTCCCGAGTAATTTTCCACTCCCGACTAACCCCTGAGACCCCACAACCCCCCTCTGACGTAGCAAAGACCCCCAAGACTATTTAAACCCACGAGATGAGATAATAAAGGCTTTCGATCGTCCACCATACTGGTGTCAGCGTCTTTGTCGATAGCCCGAGCGGTCTGGAGAGGCCAGACCGCCGTGCTGCCTCACCTGAACCAGGTCGCCAGTTGCCCTTTATAAAGGCAACAGTGAGGAATCTGCTTATTCTTCATCGCTCACTAAGGAAACAGATTTTTCTTTCACATATTTAATGCCTTTAACAGGGTCTTGTAGTTGTTCAGGGGTGAACTTCCAGATTATCATAGGAGAGAAATCCTCCAAATACTAGTCCATGTCCTCCCACATTCCATGCCACTCATGACTATCCACCCTTGGGGCAGAGCTCTGAATGACCTTCCTAGAAATCTCTGTTTTGGATCTTCACATGGTGCAGACTGTGCTGAGGAGACATAGCAACAAGAACATGCTTTCCATAATATCTAAAGGAAATTCAAAATTCTCAGAACCTGTTCTAACAGGCCTGAAGGAGGAAAAAAGTGTGAAAAGCGGGGGAAAATCATCCTTCCCTGTTCCCTCCACAGACTGGGTATGGTTACTGATGCACTCCCAAAAGCTGCACCTGAGGTGGGAGTAGGAGAGAAGCACTGAATAGACATCCCAATTGACCTTCATTGCCCTTGATGTTATCATGTCATAAAATGATATCCCACAGTACAGCAACAAAGCAATCCTGATCCCTTCTCCCTGCTCTGAAAAAGACCACCATGATGGGCACATAGTGCACATACAGAAACGTAGACAGGGATAGATGCCATAACCATATAAACAGACCATATAAATAGACCAAGCAACATTATATCCAGTGGCTCCATACCTATTACAACAAATGCTTAGATCAAATTTGTTTTCAACCCACTCTGGGGATATCTGTTACCTCAACCCTTTGTGCTACACACTGGGCACTAAATAAAGCTGTTATGGTATTCTCCAGTTCCCACTGAAATCACTCCAAGCCACGTGCTGCTCACTCCCCCCTCCCCCTTCCCTGCTGCAGTCAGGAGAAGAGAATTGGAGGAATAAAGGGTGAAGATCACAGGTTGAGATAAGATCAATTTCCTGGAAACAGCAATGAGATAAGAAAAGGAACAGTAGCAGCCACAATATTAATAATAAAAGTGTTCAAGAGAGGTGAGTGATTCACATGCAAATGTTCACCATTGTTATAAATGAAAATTTGTCCAGCCAAATTAAAATGAAAAAATAAAATATTTATTTTGCAATCAAATTCTATCTAGCCAGCCACAAGGAAAGAACAGTACTGAGCCCAGGGATGGCACTGGCTGTACAACAAAGAAGTCAGCCTAAGCAGAGGTTTACCTCTAAGTTCACACACCACCATTCTGGTACAAGTCGTTTTTATAGGGAAAATTCTGCCTGAGTCCAGGATTTCGGCAATCAGTCCTTTCTTCTATTCAGAGTCCCATAGTTTGATGAGATTTCTTTTCTTGGTGACAAGGTAGAACAATTTGATGTCCAGAGTTGGTGAATCCCTTGATGAAATTTATGGGAACCCTGCATTCACATGTATCTGTCTGGAGGATTCCCATGATATCCATCTCGGGTCGTTCAGGCATCCCCATATCGCTTCAGATACAGCACATCTCCCGACCAGCCACATCTTTTTACTTGTAAATCGGATTTCAACATACACCAGGTTTAGCCTGCGAGGGTGGGGGGGACTACTAATACAAACGTGTATACTCCAACAAATATTCAATATCACATATATCATACTAGAAATGGTGTGAATTATATCTACTACACATAACACCATTGTACCACCAATAGAGCCTGACAATACCTACTGCCCCCACCCCCACACTACCCCTACTGTGGCGGGACATTCCCCTTGTGGTAGATGAGTAATGCAATGATTGACTCTCACAATTAAAAGGCAAATATCATGTGAAATGAACAGGGCTAATGCCTTTATTAATGTTCACCTCTTTATTAAAAAAAGATCAGCTGGGCAGGGGGCTTGACACAGAGCTCGCCCCTGCTGTTGTAGCTTTTTCCAGGTAGCTGAAGGGGAAAGAGGCGTGCAGAGTCTGTTTCTGAAGTCCCAGCAGCAGCTGTCCCCTCTCCTTTCCTCGTGGTAACACCAGGAAGATCTGCCTCTTTGTTCCTGCTTCCCACAGCCCACTCCAGTCTAGTCTTCCGTAGGCGATGGTGACAGGTCAAACATAGATCATGGGATGTTTCCCTCTTCCTCAGCCAGGGAACCTGTCTGGTATTGATGATTCTGACATTGTAAAAAGTCTTTGTCTTTCTGCCCCATTGCCAAAGAAGAAGCCATAATTCGTCTGTGCTGTTTTTCAAAGTTGTTTATTCTTGCTTATCTGTAACATGTTCTGCTGCCCTGCCGCAGGTCTGTCCTGCAGGGCAGCATGCGGGGCTCTGCCCCTCAGTGGGATGTTACAAACATTATATACCAGACATTACGTGTGCTATATTTACAATAATGTGCCAATATCTATCACCTATGTTGAACAGTGTGTCCCCAGCCTAAACCAATAGAAAAATGCCAACACTACAGTGAAACATGGAAGGCATGAAGAAGGAGGAAAAGGACAAGACACACCCAATTTCCTCCATCTTGTCCCCTTTGAACCCCTAATCTAGAAACCTAAAATTTTACTTTTGCACCCGTGCCACACTTAATTATTACTCATATCAAACACTCAGAGCTTGTAATTCATCCTGTAAGATTGAAAACTCTTTTCCATGGACAGAGATCAGAGACAGTGTCTCTCGGGGCTCTGTACAGGGGGGTTCCTGATCTCCTGCCGGGGTCCCAGGCCCTCCAGGGCAGCCAGAGGAAAGCTCTGGATTCCCACATCTCCCTCTCCTTTCTGAACCAAGAACACTTCTCTGACAACTTTGTCCATGGTCTGCCTCATGCACTGAGGCAAGGACAGCACAAGCATCAGAAGAATTACAATACCCTATAATTATATACAACTGTTTTCAAAATCTCCTTCTACAACTGTGAAAGGCAAAAAAAGTTGAACACACCATCCACCTAAGATTTAATTTTTCCCAAGGTGTGTTTTCTCTTAGGATACCTCTTCAAATTTATCACTCTTGTGTTCATGTGTTTACAACAGATGTTCAACTGCTGCTTTGTTCTCATTTCTCATTGCTAGCTAACAAATCATTCAATGCAAAAGAAACTACATGGGCATCCTTACTCTGCCCACAACCTCTTTTGATCCAACTGTACCAAGGCTCTTTTTCATGCCACCTGTTGTGAAAGTAGAACCATTCAGTTTTTCCAAGGCTTTTTTCTTGGTGCTAACATTATCATTGTCACAATCTGGATCACTTCATTCATTATATTTTTTTTCTCCTCGCTCTCTTATCAAAGTCATGCTGTGTGTTAACAAAAGTTCCTTCAATGCTGCATGGACCACCCTTGATTTTTGCAGGGATAGTGGGGCAAATTCTGTTCTGTCCCCAGAAATGCAAAAACATCCCTTTTGGTAGAATGGTTGGATTTTGGAGGGATGGTTTGCTCATCATTTTGGTGTAATTAGACCAGGATGATGCATTTCTGTAAAAGAGCTGGTTTGGAGTGACATCTATAATGTGGTTACCTGACTCTGTCACTCCCAATGGATTGAATTTGATACAGAATTTCATTTTTGTTGACCCAAAGATGTCCAATTCCAGAGGTTCAAAGTGAGCCACAGGAGAGAACTGTGTCCAAACATGCCATCCATCCACAGGATCCGAAAAAGACTTCAGAACCTTTGGAAGGATGTCCTTTGGGATTCGCCATTCCTCCACTGGCACACCTACCAAGTATGTTGAAAATGGTTTCCCCGGTTTTGAATGGGTCAGGCAAATGCTGTCCAGACCCGCTGCTTTTGCCAAAGTCTCCCACACATTTTCCCTTGGTTGTCTCATGGGAAAGTCTGTCCTATTGCCCAAGGCAACAGGTGAAAGAATGAAGCACATGAACACTATCTGTCTGAACCCCATGTCCATGCCCCCACCCTCTGTGAGAAACCCTGCAATGCAGCAACACCCAAACAACACTTGATTCCCTAGAAAAAAACCCAAGTCTCTGAGTTGTCAATTGTTGTCTGATGAGACGTCTGCAGCGTCGCTGTCTGC